ATTACATATGTTATATTATTACATTCTGATGCATTCTATATAAAAATATTTAGAATTATTTTAAAAATAAAACACTTAACAGGTGATCTATAAGTACTGATATAAGAACTACACATGAGTTTACAAGAATCTGTTCACAATTTGAAGATTAAAAAAATCCAGAATAGCAGTCTGCGTGCTAGACTTCCCTGTCAAGCTGTCTAGGTAAATGGGCCTGTTCCTGGTTGATAGTCAATAAATGCAGTACAACTAGATTAACAAAACCTACGGTTTTATGTTCACAATAATTTAGATAAAATGTAGTAACCATTACTTATAGTTCTGGTTTTACACTAATAAAAATAAACAAACAAATGCAAGGTTTAGATAGAGTAATTTCTCAATTACTACCTAAACTCATCCAATGTTTCCTGTATCATATTCTGAATGAAACGGATTTGAACAGATGTCAATGGTGCATTTGGTCGATTGTTTCCGATAGTATCAACTATTTTCTCTGAGAGTGAACTGGCAACTCCAGCAGTGACAGAGGATGCTATCTTTGGATCTAAAATAAAGAATGGAGAAAATATGAATACTCAATTTAGACTAAGAGACATCAAACATTTCTAAATAAGATTTGGCATGAGGGAACTTGAAAAACTGACAAAGAACAGTGTTCCTCTGATATTTAGAAAAATTCACTGTCTAGAATACAATTTTTAAAAATTTTATATGACATTATTTCTAATAGTCATTTATCTATCTATAAACTGCCAACTGTCTAATGTAATAACATGACAAAGGAATTAATCTTGAAGAATCTCTGAACCATTTCTTCTAATAAAAGACGAACGAGACAAGCTATACCACAAACCAGATAAACCAAGACTATCAAAAACAAACAGAAGGAGGGTAGGAGTAAAGTAGTGCTATAGGCAAAGTCTTGGCATTTCAGCTAATGCAATACACCCACAGAAACCTTAAAGTAAAATACAGATAGTTATATAAAGAGTTGCTCCTATATGAAGAGTTCTTTTATACAGAATATTCTTAGAGGTGAACTTCAAACTCTTTAAATTGCAATCAAGTTTTATGAGTCTGTGGCTTAAATTCTAAGAGAAAGATTTAAATATGAAGAAGAAAAACTACAATTTAGGTAGTTAACCATCCCTTTTCAAAGGGTCCTAAATTATAATACTATCTGTACCATATTTAATAAAATCCTTACATATTAGATTGAAAATGAAATTCACACAAAAAGGGGATGAAATCAATATTGCTGAACTTAATCATTCATATACATATGTCATTGTTTTCTAGACACTAGACAAGCCAATAAACTTTAAAGTTCTTGAATTTTTTTTAGTCTATGACCACTCTATCCTTTTTAAGTTAAATATTTGGAGGATTTTTCAATTTAACATTTTCAAACATTATGAAGTTTTATGTACTTACTTGGAGTTGAAGATCCATTAACTGGTGGTTCATATATGAACTGAGCTTCAAATTCTTTCTCTGGCTTTTCAAATTTCTCAAGATTTCTTGTTTGGTTAGATGATGGAGAATTATTTAGATTTCCAGTTTCAGTACCAGAAGAGATCAACTTTGCAAACTTTATATTTAAAACAAAATAATTTTTAATATACTTAATTTCTTGTTT